ATTAGAGCTCATAAGGACCAAAGTTCGCACGTAGGAATTTTCTAACTTCCTGAAAAAGTGTTTTGATCAAAAAGAAAGATGCAGACAGGTTCAAGTGCATAAAGTTAGTAATATGCACAAACAAAAGCTTCTATAATTGAACGATATAAAGAACCTCAAACAGCTATAGAAAACGCATACGAGAAGGGGAAGCAATTTAACCTATGTAGGTACCATAGAGTAGGCTTATGCATACCAAAAGTAAGACTAAGAAACCCATTATTCATTCACTAAATACTGAGCATAAAGACTTTAACGTGTCTATAATAGAGCCATATTCACATGCTAATTAAAATTTAAAAAGCTAAAGAAAAATTGCAAGAACACGATAATAGTAGCATATGATAAAGACTTCCGTAATAAATAAATAAAAAAGAACAAGGCAATAAGACAAGAAAAAGGATGCATCACGGCAACATCGAGCTTGTAAATAACTCTAGCTAGCAACTCTAATCCATTAAAAGAGAATCCAGCAGGCACGACTGAATTTATCAGCTAAATTATAAAAAAATAGTATCTACTGATATCCATAACAAACAAGACAAAAATAAAAGTAAAACAATGATGCAGGATCGATTATCAACGGATACTAAAGGATTTGGGACTTGTTAGCAAAATGCGAAGACTGAAAACGAAGCAAACTAACTCATCATTTTACAAGGGAAAATAAGGAAGAATAGCTAGTAAGGGAGTGATGGCGTTGAAAAGTAAGAAACATATACATGCTTGTGAATTTTTAGGTATATGTTTGTGCGCAGGCGTTTACCTACCAACACGACAACATCAACGCCAGCTTCGACTAGAGCAGCAACGCGTTGCAACTCTTCATCCTGGGTGGAAATCGCTCCGCCAACTAACAACTGTTTCCTAGTGACGACAGTGATGGCAGTGCAGGGTATAGAGTTAAGAAATATGATTGGTAAAATGAAGGAAAGGACAGGTGACTAACATTGAAAGATAAGAAAGGATTAAGAGTTTAAGGAGATCGAATGAAAAGAAGTCAACTTGGCCGGCACATGGAGAAAAAAGATGCTAAAATAGTCTAAAGTATAAATTAATACAGTTAAATAAGCAAATAAACATGATATTGAAATCAGTTTTAGCCTAATTGTGTTTATCTGCCCACCTTGTATGGAGTATTCGAAAATACATGATCGAAATAAGGAAAAATAGGCCCAAAGGACTTATTTGTCGAACAATTTTATCGTAAACAAATTGTGAGGGTCTTTTTAGCATCAACGAAGCATTAAACAGCATTATAGTATTATCCCATTAAAAGCAAGCAGAATTTAGTAAATTTAAATCAAGTAACTCTGCACTATCCACTTTATTCAGGACACAGCCTGATACTCTTTATCATCTCGTTTTGGCGGACTATTTTGTATGGTAGTAAAGAGATCGATAAATCTTGATCTGTGTAATGTGAATTAAGCGAAAATTATAAGAGAACTTAGAAATAAGCAATTCCTAAGCAATGCAAAACAGACAACTTGGGCAATGTTTAAGCCTTATATGGTAGATTTGCATATGGTTCAATTTGCAAGTAAATCTATTTTTTCGTTAAATTATTAATCCAAGTTGAATTAACTGAACATATATAAAAATGAGTGTAAGAAAAGAGAAACAATAGCAAATTCTTTAGATTAAATAAAAAATTTAGGTCAAATTGAGGGTTCAAACAGCCCAAATTATAACTAGCCTGAAATATGAATAGGATTAGAGAGTAACGCGATCATACTGTTATCATGGGAAATTGCGAGGCAACAACAAATGTTAGTCTACATTTGTCATAATCAATTACCCTATCCTCAATGATTATGCAGCCTCTATTTTACATACTAGTATTATTCATAGTATTTCCTGTAATTGTACACGATCTCCTCTGGGATTTTTCTATTTCGTAAATGGATAAGCTGTTATAAATAGTTTGTTTGCGACTAATGGAAAAGGTTCGAGCTTAGATCGAGATACATGTATTATTATTAATGCCTCGTTTTGATTTGAGCCTGGCGTAATGCCATACCTCTCTATTAGCTCTCAATCGTCTCCTATCTTTTATAGTTAATCTTTTCTTGTCACTTTAAAACTGCAAATAACTCATGAGATATATATTACTTAGTTGTTAAACTGTCCTTCGTGTGTAAGATACGTTTTACTCAAATCAATGCCAAC